GATTGAACTCATTAATTATATTAATCACCATTCATTAACTATTGGTCACTTCAGTAAAGACCCACAGTTGCACTCTTCTCACTGTACAGTATTTTGCGTCCATGGATATTGACCATTAACAGCAAGTCAATCATTCACGAGTGTTTGTAACCACAGTTGGGTCAAATTACCATTTTACCCTTATATTACATCTTGTACCTTAAGTACCGTTGATCCTCTAATGAACAACCCGGTTATGGTCCGACCAATAACTGGAAGTCCCTCTCAGGCCAGTGAGAGGGTGGGGCCCCTTGTTCAAGTCCGAACTCAACACTAAAGGGAACACTCATCTACTCCCCTAAAGTCGGGGAGGAGTGAATTCCATCTTGTTAAGTTATGTTTCTAGCTCCCCACTCGGTCTCGTCCCCAAAATGGTAGGAATGTTGAGTCGACGACTCGAGCCACTCTCACTCATACAAATCAAAGGACGAGCCCTAACAAACAAGAGTCCATAACTCAGGATTGATATCGAGTAACTTTGGTCATCCTATTGAAATATGAATCTATTAGCTAACGGTGTTACAGCTAAAACAATAATTATTTCGCGGTCCAATCTTATACAAACAATCGCGATCCGATCTTATACAAACATAACTCCATTAGCAAATTAGGTGTATATATAAAATCAAGAAAATTGAAAAAATGAAACAATACTTTGGTTTGATTTGGTTATTTTCTTTTCTATTTTTTTTTTATATTTGATTTTGTGGGTTCCTAAAGATGGGAGGAATAATATTTAGGTACTTACGAAGATGCTTACCACCATTTTAAGATTGAATGTTATTTATTATATACTCTCTATATTTATGTATTCGGCTCTTTTAGTTGTCAAATTTTTAATGGGGCTGAGTAGGAGATACACCTAAATAGGTTTTTATTTGGATTCTAAGTTTCGAAATTTGAAAATTTAGTCTTTGACGTTTAGAAAATAATTCTAAAAATATTCTTGATGTTAAATTTCCTTTTAGTATTACTAACAAAATGCTGACATGGAATTAGTGAGTTTAATATTTATTAAATTTACATTATTTTTTAATTAGGCGACATTTTTTTTTCTCTCTCTCTTTCTCTCTCTCCTCCCCTCTTGGTCCAACTTAGAGACCAAAAGTGGGTGAATTGAATTTTTTTTGTCTCGCTTGGTTTATGTGTTAGAATAATTGGAATAAATATTGTCGAACCTAATTGAGAACAATAAAATTATTTTTAGTACGACCTCTTGATTTAGCATGATAAGGTATAGAATCGAAAATTTTCTTTGTTTGGTTTGGTTTATATGCTATAATAATTGGAATAAATACTTACCAAAACCTAATTAAGTCATGAAGCTAAGTAATGCTAACAGCGGGAAAAAAGAAATTTATCGTGGACATTTCATTTAAGTCCTATGCAGGGGCAGATCCACTAAGGGTCGAGGGGGGCTCAAAGTCGGGAAATTTGGATGAGTAGGTATTTTAAAAATGGAGTATTGATTTCTAATCACCCTTTAGAAAACATGGGTTTTCTAGACATTCTTGAATACCAAATTACTTTTCTACCCCTCTCCTAGTCCCTCTCTCTCCTCTATCTCCCTCTCTCTCCTCCTTCCCCTCCTCTCTCTTACTCCTCTCTCCTCAATCTCCCTCCTTCTCGAAAATTTTCTTTTCTCGAAAATTTTCTTTTCTCTTCCCCTTTTTCATCTTCTCCCCTCCCTCTCTTTTATGATTTTTTATCCTTATTTCTCTTCTCTCTTCCATTTATTCTTTA